TTTCTCTTGGAGAGGCTGACGTCACCCTGCCTCCATCAGTGTCACCTACAGAGCCCGCTCTGCCACCCGTGCCCTCTGGGCTCCTTTTCTGAGGCAGGCCCAAATAGGATTTCCAAAGGCTAATCCTGTGGATGACCAGAGTTTAGACTATATATACACGTGTGGGTAAATCTACAACCCAATCCAATCCAAAGTATTTGGTAGAACTTTCTGCTGTTCTTGATATCACGCCACTATTTTCCCACCATCATCCTTTTTTACTAGCTTCCAATTTACCTCACCAAATAAAGATTATCTGCATTTACAGAGGAGGAATGATCTCACCCCCCCCCTCCCCTTTGCTGCTGACAAGGTGACATCTGCCACAGGGATAAAGCTTGTGGGTTAGTTGGGTTCACAATGTAATAAGCATATTAAGACCGGTCCACATATCTGTGGCTAATTTTTCCATCTATTTTCTTTAAATCTGTTTGGTACTCCAATTTGAAAAGAAAATTTGAAAAACAATAAAACCAGCCGACCCAATTCATAAAATATTTCACGAAAGGTTTAGGTGTGTTTGAACACTTTATTTTATAAGACGTGTCATACAACAGTCTGCACTATAGTTGTCTCTTTGTTTTGTGTTTTTTTAAACACTACTCATTATTCCTAACATGCCTCTGTGTTTAGGGGTTTGTTGTGTTCTGTCCCAACACCTCGGGGCCTCAGAAGGAGCCAGCCTGCACTGACCGCAGTGGCTAATTAGGAGGAAGAGGAAGACTTTTAATGCCAGACAGCATCAATAAAAATGAGTGAGTTTCATCATGAAGCTTTCAAACTGCAGGATTACAGTCCATACCAGAGAAAAAGACTTTTACCTCTGTTACACACCAAAACCCGTCTGCTTTCCAGAGAAACTCACTATTAAATAAGAGCTGTTTTTGTCTAACTTCTTCTCTTCCACTTCCTGCCTACTCATGTGAAGCTCTACTGACACAGACTGCTGTGGTGCATGCTGGGAGACGAGTCAGCTGTTACAGTGCGTGTCTGTGAATAAGAAAAAATGGAACTGATCCTGTAAGGGCCTGTAAATCAGCTTACTACGACTCAAGAGGAATGGGAGCGACTTGGTGACTCGCTCAAAAATGATCACACTGCCAGGAAAACATGGAGGACTACATGAAACATGGAGGACAACATGGAGGACTACAAGGAGGAAATCATGGAAGACTACATGAAACATGGAGGAAAACATGGAGGACTACATGGAGGAAAACATGAAACATGGAGGACTACAAGGAGGAAATCATGGAAGACTACATGAAACATGGAGGAAAACATGGAGGACTACATGGAACATGGAGGACAACATGGAGGACTACATGGAGGAAAACATGAAACATGGAGGACTACATGGAACATGGAGGACTACATGGAGGACTACATGGAACATGGAGGACAACATGGAGGACTACATGGAACATGGAGGACTACATGGAACATGGAGGAAAACATGGAAGACTACATGTAACATGGAGGACTACATGGAACATGGAGGACTACATGGGGAACTCCATGCACAGAGGGGCTGCTGGAACAGGGGGTGCACAGGTTTTAAAGCCTCTTAAACATTTTGTATGCACAGCATCTGTACAGCTGTGGGGAGGTTCAAAAGGGTTTGAGCTGGGTGTTCATGGGTAGTTTTCAGGTTTGCAGAAGAGGTTTATACCCTCTGTTTATAGAGAGCATATCTTTAGGTAAAAAACATCTTTCAAAGAAAGACAACAAGCTTTTTTTTCTTTCTTAGGACACATTTAATATCAGTACGTTGGTATTTATTGTTATTAATGATAAATGTAATTGTTTTAGAGCATTAAAATTAGCTTTCTTCTGCTTTTCTCAGTTTTCCCGACGCTATGAGAAACAGCAGAGCGATGAGCTGTACTTCATTAATGAGGCACACAAATTAAACAGCTTTGTGGAAAGTCTGCTGTTTGATTGCTGCTTTTTATTCCTGGTGTGGGCTGAAACTGCAGCTCAGAAAATATTTCTCTGACACTCTGACACCTCACATATCAGAAGCAGTGCAGTCATGCCCATTATAGTTAAGGTTGCTAAAACAGCCCCATGAATCCGTTTAAAGCGTTCAGTCAAGATTGTACCTCCTGCCCCATAAATATGATCCTGATAGTCAAATTCAGGCTGGGAAGGTAGGAGTCCCAGGGTTAGGGGGATTAAGCTGCACACGCACCTGTTGGGAGGAGGGCTGTTAGCAGCGAGCCCCAGGGAGGAATTAACCATGCACGGTTCTCAAATCAACTCCTGGAGCATCAAAGTATTGATCTGGAACTCTGGAAGTCCACAGCAAAAGACTTCCAGCAGCTCGAGCATGCACACACGTCCACCAGCATTATTCTTATTGAGTTATTCTTATTGATCGGTGCTTTTGCTTAGATTAACGGTTGTGCTGACTCTGCCTTCTACAGATGTGTTGGATAATATTTTTGGGCTCTTGGTTAGAGGGGACCGCAGGTCTTTTTTTAAAAGCTGGGGACAGAGATTTGTCTGATTGGTGTGAGCACTCTTTGTGAGCTCATTTTGAAAGATGGAAATGGCAGAAAAGACTCAGGAAGACCTCTGAAATCCTTTAGCTTTGACAGGTTGCCTCTGCAATCTAAAACGTCCACTACATAAAAAGATATTCAGACATTATTAATTGAATATGCTGACACTGCTGGGTCCAGACTTCGGTTCAAACTGAGTAAAGTGAGAACTGTCCTGTGGTCTGATTAATGAATTCATTTTGGAAACGGTCAAGGCTGCCTAAAGCAGAAAGAAACCATGAAGTAATGCCAACCCACAGTCTGTACCACAAGTTTGGCTAATAAGAGTTTGGGTAATTGCCTGTAAAAGGCAAAAAGTAATAGTTACATATCAATTAAATATGGAGCAACAATAAAAAAAAGATAATGTGCTGCTGGCATTATACTCAAAATAGAGAGACTTTAGATTCAAGAGAGAAAAAAAGTCTATCTCATGTTAACATTAGATAATTGTCCTTACCAAGCCGTTTGCAAATGGTTTGCAAATCACTCAATATTTGTTTTCATTTAAATCTCTTCCAACTTTTCACTGAAGCAGAGATCTGTGATCTCAGACAATACAGAGGAGAATGTAAAGGCTTTACTTAACAACACGGACAGAGATGTCAGAATAAGGTTAGGGCTGGGGTTAGGTGTAAGATTATGAGATTATGGGATGGCGGCGGCGCTGTATGTCTCACTCGCTGGTCAAACCAAATCAAGTCATCTATAAGCTGCTTTTCCTTTAGCTCTAGTTCACATCATGCTATCACATTGTTCCACAGACTGATCTGGTGGTTTAAAGGTAAGAGGAACACAGGGGGAGCTATTCTAACTTTGCTCTGTCAAATGATCTCAATTAATAAGTCACATGTGTTCATCCATAGCAGCACAACACCAAGCAGAAAAATGACACTCAGGCCTTTTGTCTCATTCCACGAGCATCAAGTGTGAGATTTGCTCACATGGTGTTATGACTAGCATAGTGAGTAGAATATACACTAGTGTGTCTGCATTTTTTTGTGCGATTGGATGAGTATCAGTCCGTTTAGCTGAACAGTTTGTATGTACTCTTACAGACAACACAACTCAACACAACACAGCACCACACATCCTGTTTCCCAAGCCCTCACCTTAGAATGTTATGATTTATGCAAAGCCAGTGTGTCATGTTGCATGTGCATGGTGCACGCTGTGAATATCTATGTAAATGTGTTTGGCTCTGTTTGGACTGTCAGCTGGCAGACATATGGCTGTCATTCATAATACACACACACTCCTCCGGACACACTCACAACCAGGACTGCCTTACTGAGGATGAGCCTAACTGTATCACCAGGGCCCAAGACCCACTTAGAGACTAAGTAATGTTGGTTATCTCCTAACAACTGAGACCTATGCTAATCTCTGTGCTGACAGTCAGAGGGTGTGCACACACCTAAACCTCTCTGAGGATCTCTGATACAACAAGGCTGCTAGCAGGCTCCCACAAATCAGGATCTGTTTTCGAGGAATTAAGCAACTTATAGTTTATGACCACTGGATGAATGGGACATTTACATTGAAGACATGTAAAAAAGGAAACATTGCTGGTGTTTCATTCCAGTTAAGACAAATCAGGGTTCAGTAATAGGAGCTGTTTGTATGTTTGATATCCAGAAACCTGCTTTTCTCACCGCATCACTTAGCTTTTCCATGAGAGATAATAGGTTGTTTCTGTCTTTGTGCAAAACATCCAAATCTTATCCAGGTTTGAAAAGCTGTCCACGTGTTTTTGAAGCCTTATTAGAATAAAACAACATTTGTTTTATAAAATAACCACCGAAGACTACAACAGGAGTGAATACAAATGGACATAAAGGCATTGGACTCGAGTTTTGACTAAAGATGTTTGAAGCAAACAGAGTCCTGAGGGGGTTTCAGCGGGAGAAGGACAGTGTGTGCTCACACCTCAGCTATTCTTCTGAGCAGTTACAGTAATCTGTGCCAGCTGTCAGTGAGTTCCTCTAAAGGCCCACTCTGAACCCCAAAATTATCTCTAACTAGCAGAGAGGCTATGCAAACCCTGAACCACAGAAGCAGCGAGCTGAGAGCAGCACAGGGTGAGAGGAGGCCGGTTCTGGAAACAGCTGGAAACCACCTGAATGTTGCCCAAAGGGAAAAGCCAACGGGGAACGCTCCTATCTTAGGTTTTCCCATAATACCCTGAACAAATGAGCCACACAATGGCAGCAAACGGCCCTTGAAAATGCATGAAGTATGAGCAGTGTGCGCTGAAGCCCAGAGTAAATGACTCTCAGAGCACATTCTGGTGGAGGGCCCTTGTTAGAGGAGAGCCATCTGCACAGGGACAGAGAGCTCTGGCCCAGAGAGAGCCGGTCCACTGTGAGCAGCCGGGGGAAAGCCAAAGGGAAAGAATGAGAGAGGAAGAGGAAAAAGATGAGAGCTCTGTAGTGGTCAAGGCCTCACGGCACATTCCTGCTGACCCACAGTCTGACCGTCACAAACAGAGCTGAGTCCTGGCCCCGCTTCTTAGCTAGGGGGGGCTCTCTGCCTCTACACACACATTCAGATATATATATATCTTTATAACCACACAGATATCCTTTCCTTCTAATCTGGAGGATCTCAGCCTAAAGAGGTCTGAGGCCTGTGAAGGTGCCGTTGACAGAGGTGTGATAGCTCCGTCATGTCCAGTAAGACAGCCACCAACACCCCCGCCCAGTCAGCGGCTGTAATGAACCAGAAAAGAAATGCAAGCCACACAAAAAGAAGAAGTAGTGCAACAGTCCACCTACGGTCGCATGACTTTATTTAGCCCCAAAGGAGGGGCGGAGCTATTTGAGCGGTATTTCCAAGTAAATGAAGCAAAAAAAGTAGCACCAACTGCAGAGTTGAATGAATTATTAAAGCTTCTTCAGAGACATTGTACAGTAAGTTTACAAATGTACGTCTGAGTTCTGGGTCTCCAACAACACCTGGAAATCCAAAGCTATTCCGTTTATAAACTGCTCATCATTTAAGTCCACTTGTGGATTTGGCCCTGAATGTGACTTTTCATGTGCCTTTAGTCAGCATGAATTGGCAGGAAACTGGCCAGTGGGTGGTTAGGGGGGCTGTGTTTGAGTTTTACATTACAAACTCCCATCAGCCAGCTTAAAAACACACTGACACATTAACTGCACAGCTTTGCTAGTTATCCTCTGATCCTTTATTTCATAAGTCCAACAAAAGGAGGAGAAAAGGTTCACAGAATTCCTCTTCTGACCTTATCTAGCTTTTAATAACCAGATGGGTGGATAAGTGGGAATTTAAAATACAAGCTTTGTTTGTTTTAAAAGGGAAGACTTGGAGGATCGTACAGACACAGTTCGCCTGACCTTTGGTGAGCCTGGTCCAGTCTGAACCCGCCTGCTTTCCTCAGGACCCGGGCTTCACAGCTGGGCTGAGCAGGGCGATCGATGGGGATCGCTCCACCTGTCCAGCTTTTAATGCTGCGGCTGATTAGTGGCTCAGATGATTCATAACCCCGGCACTGGCTTGCTGCGATGCTGTAAATGGGGAAACAGCTTAGCGGGCCATAAGTGCTGCGTGTTCACGCCTGTCAGGCCGGAGCCCACACAGGAAACGCATCACGTGGAGGCTGGCGGCCTCAGCGCTGCTTTCAACACAGCCCTGAATTAGATAGCCGGCTCATGAAAGAGGACACCAGAGGACTAAGACCAGACCAACATCTTAACAAATAAAAACACACACCAGTGCCAGGAGTACGTGGAGGTTTCCTCTGAGTGGGCACTTTTAGCCGACCACACGCCACTTCCACCCCACCACAGATCCAGCATCAGGTTTCTGCGTGGCTCTGATGAGCGCGTGCACATTGATCGGGGATCTGTGGTTAGCTCTGGCCGCCGCTGGCCTCCTCTGTGGGGCCGTTTCCTCCCGTGTCCGGGTGCTCTGGCTCTGGGAGGCATTTGCGTGAGCGGCTGCTGACAGGACTCCAGCAGCTGTCCGAACACACACACACATAACGGATGCTGCTGGAGACCAGGCTCACAGAGGTGAGCAGAGGCAGAGCGTGAGAGAGCAAACGTCCTTTAGCTAACATATGGAGACGCGCGTGTGTGTGTACGTGTGTGTGTGTGAGAGCAGCTGTGTTAATGATTGGCTGCTGCATGCTGAGTCAGCGAGACTGGCCCCAGATACAGTACACAATAAACTTCTCCTCTCAATCCTTCCTTCCTGTATCTTCCCCTTCCTTATTTTTCTCTTTTCGGTCTTTGTGTTGGACCACCCTCTCCCCTTTTCAAAGTTTAGCCTCTTTTCTCCACTAACTTGACAGAGCAGAGCTCTTAGTCATCCATGTTCCTACATGCTGAACATGCTCTGATTACTGATTACATGTGTGCACACATGCACTGGTTTACATTGAGAACCATGTTACAGACTCATAAATCCAGCACAGGCATAGCCGGTGAAGACTCAGAGAGGAGGGAGCTGCTGCACGTGCTCTGCTGAGGGTTTCTGCAGAGTGAATGCAGAAGGAAGTGAGGGAGAGGCAGTGCTGCCTGGTTTTGGCGAGCTGGTCCGTGTTTGTGTGACATTTAGATGTCTGCTCAGGACGTTTGGCTCCTGTTAGCTTTAACTTTCACTTTTGTTTGCAGTCCCGGTGGATGGGGCTGAAAATGGAGGCTGCTCCACGCCACACCATGTGACCGTCAGTGGCCTATAAACACATTTATGGTGCTGAATGTGAAACCCCTCTCACCAAAAATGACACCCAAAATGACAGTTACATGCCAAACCCGGTTTTTTATACTTAGTTAACCCTCACAACAGGAACCTAATGTTACCTCCTCTGACCCCATTTTCAAGCTTTTGAACAAGCAATCCTCCATAAAATCATACGTTGATGTGAATCCACTTACAGAGAGAGACAGCTTGATGGACCTAAATGTGATTGGAGTTCCTCCTGAGGGAGCGTCTCCTCTGACTGGGTCTCAGCTGGAGCTCAAACAGAGCCACGCATTCAGACGCTCCTGCTCCTGTTCATATCGGGACCGAGCACAGTGGAAAATACAGACCACAGCAAGTGATCTGCATTTTAAGTGGGTCAGCTTTCCCTCTGAATATGTGTCTGTCTGAGAGGACTGTGAGTAACTAAACAGGAAACTAATTATTTGTTTCCCCCGGCCCAAAGCGAGGGAGCTCTGTACAGGATTCCTCAGCAGATACTTTTGCAAGCTGAGCTTCATTTTGTATTAAAAAGTAGCCCTGCAACAGGCTATGATTTCCCTTATTGTGATTTATAGATGTTATTTGCCTAATCGTTGTATTTACTCATTCTTAACATCAGATCAGTTATCAGTTTTTTATGATCAACAAAGGGCCAAATAACCAGCACTTTGTTCACTTATGTTTAATCTAACAGTGAATGTCTGTATGGCCTCATAAGCTCCCTCTTTATTGGAGTATGATTACATATGGTCAACACGGCTGTAATGAATCAGATCCAGAAGCACTCTGGCTGTTTACTCTCACCAGAGAAAACCACACATTCCATATTTAGGGATAAGTTATTAAATGTGCTGCAGTGTGGTTTACTTTCGGCTTTGTTCCAAGTCAGTGGCACGGGCTCTGCTCAAATAATGTAGTTGTTCTCCTCTGACAACCCACCCTGGCTTTTACGGTGTAGAGCAGCAATACTCATATTGAATTAGCTCTGCATGGCTGACCTGACTCTAACATAAGCCCACTAGTCTCTAGGTGCTGGTAGACATGCGCCCCATACCCAGCGCCTCCCGGACTGCCTCTTATTGTAACCTGAATTAAGTCAGCACACAGTCCAGACATTAAGCACGCATGGGCCCCGTCTGGCTCAGCACATGGGGCCCACAGCTATGTAGCATCATCTGGAGGATGGGTAGTATCCACCCCCACCCAGGGTGAAAGCAGTACAACATGCTAGGCTTCCCAGCCAGGTCATGTGTGGAGGAGAGACCGGGAGGAGGCTCTGGGGAATGGATGAGGAGAACATGGAGGTGGGGATCTGGCCCAGCCTGGACTCTGCCTGCTCTCTGACCGACTCTGGAGCCAGGCGCCGTCCGACTGCTTTTGGAGAACCAGGACCAGAGGGTTCTGGGTTGGAGTCCCCGGGGGAACCAGG